ATACAACAGCAAGAGCAACAACTGCAGCAGCAACATCAGCAACAGCAATAGCAGCAGCAGCAGCAGCAGCAGCAGCAGCAGCAGCAGCCACTACTAGTATTATTAATACAATTACAATTACTATTACTGTTACTGTTACTATTACTATTACTATTACTATTACTATTACTATTATTACTACCGACTATTACCACCACTACTACTACACTACTACTGCCACTGCCACTGTCACTGCCACTGCGAGTGTTACTGCTACTGCTAGTGCTTCTACTCCTACTACTTTTCCTGCTGCTACAGGTAATCAACGACGAAAACAGCAGCAGCAACAACAACACCAGCAGCAGCAGTAGCAACAACAGCAGCCGCAGCAGCAACAACAACAACATTGATACATCGCAGGTATCAGCGACAACAACAACAACGACCACAACGACGACTGACAACAACGACGACGTCGACGACGGCAACGACACCTTAACAACAATGTTAACGACAACGACAACCACAACGACAATCATAACCACAGCATCAACGACAATTAGTACTACTACTACTACTACTACTACTACTGCTAGCTAGCTAGCTAGCTAGCTAGCTAGCTAGCTAGCTAGCTAGCTAGCTAGCTAGCTAGCTAGCTAGTACTACTACTAGTACTAGAACTAGAACTAGAACTAGTACTAGTACTAGTACTAGTAGTAGTAGTGCTAGTACTATTGTTACTACTATTACTACTACTACTACTACTACTACTGCTACTACTACTACTAGTACTAGTACTACTAGTACTCCTACCACCAATACTTACTACTACCAGTACTACTGCTGCTACTACTACTACTACTACTACTACTGCTACTACTGCTACTACTACTACTGCTGCTGCCGCTACCACTACTTCTCCTGCTGCTACTAATATTCGTACTAGTACTAGCACTAGTACCGTGTCTCGGGAATCTAGAACAGTTGTTTGGCGGAGCAAGATCGCCAAGCAATCTTGGTCGTCTTGCCCCGCTTGCCCGCAGACTGCCGATTATTTTACTTTCTGGAGACCAAGATTGCAAGATTGCTCCCCCCTAGCAGTCTTGGTCTCACAGGTAAACTAGTCGGCGAGACCAAGATTGCAAGATTGCTTGGCAATCTTGCTTAGATAATTGTTCTAAAAACCGGAACACTATACTACTGCTAGTACTACTCCCAATGTGCGACTACCACAACTCCTACCTCTACCACTACGACGACGACGCTCCTGCTCCCTCTCCTGCTACTACTACTACTACTACTACTACTACCACCCCTAATCTACTGCTAGTTACTAGATCCACCCACGCCTGCTGCAGCTGCTGTGTCCGATGTCAGACCGTACACATCCCATTACCGCATCATGACCCCAGATTCTTCTCGTGGCTTTGTAAGTCTGGACACGTAAAACTCAAGTTCTTGAAAGCATGAGCCCGAAAGCCCTGAACCTCTGCGGTAGGTGGAAACCTACATCCGTCGCTTTTGCCCTGAGCTGTTAGAGCGTCTCGTGGAAGTAGGCGTGTTGGACTGAGAGTTTCCCGAGCAAAGTAGGTTTTGTTCCGACTTCTGGCCATAGGCCGAAGGCAATTTCCGAAAGCACGCATGGAGTCAAGAGCTTGGCACGAGAATCTCTCGAACTTTTTTCCGGCGGCAAGAGGGCTGCTGCAAGTGCGATCTGAGTGCGGCGCGACAACGATTCACCGCCGCCGTTGTTTGTGGTTCTTGCCTTCGGGGGACTCTCCTTGTATGGAAAGTCAAACATCGTGTTAACTCAACAAAAGGAAATTCTGAGAAAAGGCGAAATTATCTAGGCCCTCAGATTTAGCCGTAAACCGTCGAAAGCACTCAATGGGACCACCAGACAAGACCCACAACCCAGAAACCTTTCGAAATCTTATGAGATCCATACTTTCCTTGCCCCGAACCTTTTACGACCCTTCACCATCGCATGTCTGAAGCCGCAGCAACCAACCAGAAGCATCGTGACAAGCATGTCCGAGAAGGTTTTTGTGAAACCGATGAATTGTAGGTTTCGGGTTTGTGCTCCAGACACTATGAAAGCTACGCGATTGAAAACCGTTGTCTAACACCTGTCGATTTGGGGGTTGGGAGGGAAGCGCTGGATCACAGATCTCCATGATGTTCACCCGTGATCAGTGGTTCTGAGACTGTGAGTTAGGAAGTACATGTATAAGGGTAGTTCGTCAAAAACTGGGGTCTTAGTTTTGAGTAAAGCCTGCACCTTGCAGCCCAGCCCTTTGCTCGAGTCCATCCGAGTTCCAATATGTTGCAGAAAGGTTTCTGACCCGGTGAAGCACAGTAATTGCGGGTTTTCGGTTGCTGGCCCTCGATACTCTGTGTGTATGTGCTACGAAAAGCTGGAGGTTGCCGCCGTAGGGATACCAAAGCTTGAGCACTGAAGCCGTGCACAAGCCCGGAAGTGTGTTGATTCCTCGTGCTTATCAGTTGCACAACTTGATGACTTGGACTTCTTTGGATGTTGGCATTTGAAGCTTCGCGCCCATGCAGGGGGACAGAGAGAGAGAGAGAGAGAGAAAAAAAAAAGCAGAGAGACCATGTGCCAAGCAGTACTCAAGATCAAGATGGACAGATTGTAGCATCATTGCTGCTATGAGAACAGTAGAAGCAAATCCAACAGCAACATCAGTATCATCATGGCCCTCGCCACAATCACGATCCACTCAAGCAACAGCATTCACTAAACTGAGAATTGGCTTGCATGAACCGCAGACACACTTTCGTCGTTTTCCATCGGCACTGTATTTAGCAAAGGCAGCATACGACTTCCAAGAGGTTTATCCAACGCCGCAGCTCTCCGGCACTTGATCCAAAGTGCAGAAAGATCTCGAAAGATTCCATTCTGGGGTTCCACTTGCTCATCAAGCCAGCTAGCTTAATTTGCAAAGGTACCTCTGTCTTAGCAGCAATGTAGAACAACTTTAACATCGCAGCGATAAGGGGGCTGAGTGTCAAAATGCTTTCAGAATATGTTGAATCTGTTCATGTCACGCTAAGAAGCAGTTTCGGGCCCAGAACTCGTCAGGATGAAGGATTCAAGATTTGCTTCGACGTACTTGAGCTTCTTTAGTTTAGTGCATGTGCGGTTCAAGCTTTGAGGAGGCGGCATTAAGCCACAGACATGATCTTCGCGAGAACGCTAGCGCCCGAACTCTTTGAGGGACTTCCTTGTCCGAGGAGTCCACTTTTCTGGGTGGGCATCCATCAAAGATCTGCTACGTTTGGCCGATGTTAAACTTGGGGTCCCCAGCTCTGGAACTCCCAACAAATCTTGCGATTTTAAATGTTTAGGCTGTAGGATTATAGGGTTTGGGGTCTTGTCATTTAGGCTCTGGAGTCTTAGTGTTTTCATCCGCCAACCCCTGGACCGCAGTCCCTAGCATAGCCTTGAACTTTGAACCCTAAATCGATTACGAATCGACATCCGATAGCCGAGTTTCCAAAGGCGCATATATATATATATATATATATATACATCTCTCTCTCTCTCTCTCCAGACTCCAAGTCAGTTGAAGCTTAAGAACTACGCAGTTTCAAAGGGGTTGGGGATGCACGCTGTCAAGATTGATAGCCCTTCATCACTCGAGCCCAACCGGCCATCCCACCCAAGAACCGAATGCGAAACCTTGAGAGACCATGAGGACGGGCGTGCTATAAGCCGTCTGATAACACCGCCGCCGCGCTATTCAGTCCCAAGAGCTCCGACTATGTGCTTGATCGAGGCGGCCACATCGGCATGGCTACGCGATGGTTTCTTGAACAGGCAATCTCCGGTGCCGACGTGTATGAGCCGAGTGGCACTTGTGACACTCTGCAGACGAACCTGGGAAAGGATGCCCGAGTGACATTGCACCAGCAAGCCGTCGTCCTCGCGCTGTGGTGGTTGCATGTTCAAGGCCGATTCTGCTCACGGAGACCCACATAGCGATTCGGTAGTCATCCGGGCCGGCGGTGAGACTTTCTACTCTAAGCAGGTCCACAACTACCAGACTTTGGTGACTTTGGTGATGGCCACAAGCTTCACTCGCTGGCCATTCGGTTCCAAGTTCCAAAGGAGCTCATGCAGCCCACGCCGTTGGAGGAGCGAGTGGAAGCGATGAGGGGAGCGCTCTCCCGGTTGGAGTTTCTGGGACTGCACTCGGAAGGGAGCTTTGGGGTTGGACAGGTTCGTGTAATGTGTTGTTGGTCCAGGCGGTGATTGCAGCCGGGGCGACAGCTTCAGCTAGGCAGAAGAAGTGGGTGAGGGAGGAGAGAGCCACTGCAACCGAGTGTTCTTCACCTTTCCACAGTTGAAACACTTCTCAGGCTGCTACGAGTACTTCAACGAGCAGCACAGAGACAACCCTCGCTTCAAGCGCTGGAAGCTTCTGCAGCTGTTGAAGTCCGGCGCCGGACCATGAGTCATACGAGCCGCATCCCCCGAGGACCTGTGCACTAGCAACAATCTTATCCACTTCGAATGCCCAGACAAGAGCTTGGAGGAGGCCAGCTGCACAGTGGCAGAAGAATGGCCTGAGCCTTCATCCTTTTCTATACCGGTGCAGGCCGAAGCCGCCGCTCCCAAGGAGCGCAGGGTTACGATTGTCTATGACATGGGGCAGGTGCGGAAGTAACAGTATGTCAAAGATGAGCACGGTCACGGTCTCCTAACAAGAGAGGGCGAGGACTGCGACATGAAGGTGATCGACAGAGCTTTTTGGATGTTACCAATACTTCGGCCAGTACCACAACAACACTTCGCCTCCGCGGCAGTTCGCGGAGTTGGCGGCTCCCATGCCATTCTCACAGCTGCTGTGTTTGTACAGTTTGCCCCCTTCAGGGTTGTAGGCGCGTCGTTGAGCTTATCTTTGGAGCTCGCGATGCGAAAAGCTGGGCAGCAGCTGAGGGCTATCAGGAGCGAAGTTTAGTGTTTCAAAGTCCCAGGCGATGCTTGCGCCCGCCAGGTACCTGACCTTGCCGTGCAAGCTCCTCTTTACCCAGGCTGTTGGCTGTGGGGTTCAGGGCATTGGAATGAGTGTCTTGCTTGAGGATTGAATTTTTAAAATCCGGGTTTCCTCTGAGGGCTTCGGGCTTGGGATTCTGAGAGGAGCTTGAAAAGACAGTCCAGCCATGTAGATACTCGTCGTGCTCGTCTGGAATCGTTTGGTTTTGCGAGGTTTACCTCCAAAACAGCAAAACCTGCGACTGTAAGCTTTCCGTCATTGCGCTGAATACCCCAAAAAGGGTGCGCCTGCTTTCCCCGACCTCCCTGCTAGTTCTCATGTCGGCCGTACAGTTATAGACTTTAGGATTCTGGCATGCCGTAGCCGTAACCCGTCAATCTTATTCACTTGAAGCCCCGTCGAAGCCAACAAAAACGGATTGCGCATGCCTCGCAGCCCTGGGGCGTTTTCCAGCAGGCTCTGCGCTACTGGGCCGTGTGTTGCGGTGCTCAGGTGCGCTGTTTGCCGTTTGTGTCCCGGCACCTTTGAAACAAGCAACACCTCCTTTTTGCACCGGTGTAGTCCTCCCGGTTACAAAGGATCCTGGAGCTTCGCAGTTGATTTCGTTGTCGTTGCAAAGCTTCCCTGTAGAGTAGCAGGGTTCGTAAATGCATATTCCATGCAGGCCTGCACGAATGAAAGGCTTAGATAGTGCCATGCCACTAACATTGAAGACACTGTCTGAAACTACGGTTCAGGAGTCCTTGGAACTGACCCTCAATCAATGTGCAGCCATGTGCCCCTCTAGTTGCTGGGTTTGGGTTTGGACAATCCGAGCCGCAACAAATGCTGGCTGCGAGCAAAGTGGAAGGTAGACAACGACAGGGAACAGGGATAGCTGTGTCGGGCGAGCTTACATGCTCGATGTCTGCCAGCTCGGGCCAACCCTAAACAGAACCAAAGTTCTACGGGCTCTGGGCCTCAAGTTCAAGCTTCCTCGATCGCCCATATCAGATGGGTTTCGTGGAGCTCTTTGCCGAGATCCGGAAGCATGTGAGACTCTTACTTCTGCGGTTCCCAGCTGAATCGAAAGTACTTGTTGCTTTTTCTTCTACTCCAAGACTTCAGATTCCACGTCCTAGATGCTCACGGGAGCTGGCAAGCTTTAGTTGCAGCCTACTTTTTGATATAGCTTCCGTTCATTAACTATCAGTCTTTTCTACAGGCATCTAAGGAGGTGGTCTAGGGTTTCGGCTTCAAGCACTTCGGGCTTCGGGGTTTGGAGGCTGCACTCTCGAGCCGAAAACCCAACATCTTCTTGAAACCCGCTCTCGAATATGAACCCTAGGCCCTAGACAGTAGGACTGCTGGGGTCCCTGTACGAGGACCTCCCGAATCAGGGCTCGGTTAAGGTATCATGAAAGCTAAGGCATCTATTCAGCATTGGAAGCATTGGAAGTACCTTCAAGCGACACGGAACTCGGAACATCTGCAGAGCCAGAGCTGCCGATACAGAGCCCTGGCAGTGATGGAAGGGCTAAAGACTGCAAGCTGAGAAACCCGACCTGGACGTCCATGGTCCTGGGTTCAAGTGTCGGATTCTTGTGTTTGTGTCAAAGGCTGCCTCTCAGACAATGACCTAAGTCTCCAAGGCACCACCAGCCTTCAAGCCCAAAGAATCGAAAACATCTTCAAACATGAAATCAATCTGCAATCTCTCCGCAGCATGTTGTTTCAAAGGTCAGCGATTTGAGGAGGCGCCGAGGGTCAAAGGTATTGAGGTTAAGTTGAGGGTCTGGAGTGTAGGGGGAGCTCGGAGTATGTGACTCGGAGCTTTGATTTTTGCTTTCGAAGGTTTTTCCCGATGCCCACTTCATGAAATCGGTTGAGCCATCATCGGGTTAGAAGGCTTGGGCATGGATGTAGAGGATCCAGAAGGTTGTCACAAGCTTCCCGTGTTGTCGCTTCGTGAGTTGGTACAAGGTTGTTAGGGTTTTGTTCTGCTTTTAACGGACAGAGATCAAGCGGTTACATAGTTCCTTTGTTTTCACGGATGACTCGAGCTGCACTTCGTTCGCCTGGCTCGGGACTTGAAAACAGTATGGCTTTGATTCTGGAATCTGCTGACCTGGGTCCTTGTTAAGAACCGTAGATAAGGCCACTAGAACCGGGATATACAGTGCATCGAATACTCTTCTGATTCCCGATTACGATATCTCAGTAATTACTTGTAGATGTACAAGTTCCTGAACAACCCAGTTGCTTGCGTCCGGTGCTGGTGGTAGCAGGTGGTTGATGTCGAGGATTGTCGAATTTGCGAGCAAGAGTTCTTTTGCTCGCAGTGTGCGCTTCGGGAGGCCCTTCGTGCTTTGACTGCTGCAGGGCCATCGCAGCTCATGCTTATGATGCTCGTCGATGCTCGCGCTCTTGGTCTCGCCTTCTGATGTGCATAATCCTCGCGCTCCGGGCCTTGATGACGGTTTGTCGATTTCTATTAAGCGACATGACGCAGGGGGAGCTGTAGTTGGTGGCTGCGACTGCTACCATGTAGCTGCTAACTTCGAAGCCCGCCACCCGACATCTTGACGTGTAGCGTCTCATTCCTTGAGCTCTGTTGTACACGCTTGGCCGAAGAAGCAAAACAACTTACGCATGTTGTTTTTTGTACTCCGAGTCTGTCTCGCCCTGAGCAAGAACGGAACACCCCAAGTGTTCAGTCATCATCTGAAATTCCAAGTTTCCCAGCCCCCTGAAACCCAACCCCCCCCCCCCAAGCCTTAATCTAAGCAACCCTGTAATGTGATCCCTGCAGGTGCTGGCAGATCTGCTGTCGTGTGAAGCGGGGTCTGCTGGATACCTCCAAGCCTGGGGCCTTCTACATGGACCAGGCGCTTCGCGACAGCCTTTCACGTGCTTATCTCAATCAGCTTTCGTGTGTCGTTGGAACTTCAGTGTTGGTGGCCTTGCGGTTTTGGGACACCTGCGAGACCGGCGAACAGCTCGGTACTCAAAGCGACCTCTACTCGTTCTGGAGCCAAAAGATTCTACCAAGGTCTCGGTATACTGTTTAAGACCAAAAGCAGGCTGGAATGAATTTAGCACTGACTATAGCCTACAGCCTGCCAGCTTCACGGCATCAAACCTTTATGTCTACCTAGCTGTTAAGCTTTGTCAGACGTTCCAGCACGCCCGTATTTCTGAACTGCCAAGCTCTTCCAGATCCAGGGACAGAGCTGCAGGCAAGTAGATGACAAGGACGAACTCCTCCTTAGATGGACTGCATGCAAATATTATACTATGAGGCAGCACCGTTCTCGATTTTTGCCCTCGGGCCTCACGCAGATCACCTAAGGAGATGTTGCCTGATGCCGAAGCCCTTCCTGTCCTACCCCAAAGAGCCAAACCTATCCAATACCATACGGATTTGTGGAGCAGGCCTACTTTCAGGGCGCCGTGGAGATCTTGATGCCGCGATCTCAATAGCTAAAGAGACGCCAAGACCGAATTCAAATTTCTCGCCACCAAGCCATGGCAATACCGGAACCTGCATGAGGTATCGGTTTTGGGACAATTTGTTGGAAGTCATCGTAGGCTTCACGCACGGTTGAGTCACCGCACTGATTGAATCCGGTGCCTTATAAATTCTTCAACCTAAAACATCAGCATCTGCAGGGCTTGTGGTGCGAGCTCTGGGATTTGAGAATACAGCGGCTTTGGGAACTCTTCGGTGCGTGCAGCGCCCAGCGCAGTGATACGTTTTGGTGGCCTGAGTTGAACAGAGAGTCGCGCTCTAGGGCTGGTGAACCGCCAGGCTTGACCCTTCGACCTGTGTCTCATTTAGAGCTTGCTTCTTCTTTGTCGAATATAGGTTGCTTCGAGGTCAGCTAAAGTGCAGCAGGTTACCTAAACCTGTTCGCGTGGTTGGAGGCCTCAAAGTCCGAAGCCCGCAATCAAGAAATCCGGCGAATAAGGCCTTGGAGTCCACCTCCGTCCCCATCACCCACACCCACCCGCACACACAGACACACACACACACACATACACACACATGCACAAAAATGCACACAGCCCACTACACTACACAACCCCATGCATGACCTGACCTGGACCAAAGCCTCTGTGCTAAACCTTGTACCGAATCCGGCATGACAACTGGGCGGAAAGACCCTTGACCACTTCTGACAAAAGCTTCTGCCCAAGGCATCTCGAGGAGGTGGATTTCGGTCGCCTCTACGGGGGCCAGATCGCCTTACAGGAGCCCTGACGCGGCTGTTTCAGGGCAACCAACTTTTCAGCCTCCGGGGTTAATAGAGTTCCGCTACAAGGTTATTGGAGAAGAATGACAGGCTTATGTCTCTAGAGTTTTCGGGCATTCTGGGGTACAGGTGGGCAGGAGCTCCACAGCGGGGTTAATGCAGAGCACGCAACGAACGACAAAGAACGTCATGGATCTGCGACTGCTAGTCTGCCATACTACTTTTCCTTTCAAAGTGGAGTGCTCGCGGCCGTACCTGTAAGTGCATGCAGCCAACAGCAGGACCACAAGCGTACATGTGCTAAAGCTGCACACTGAAGTGTCCGCCAGAGTTTTGGGTCTGGGTGTTTGTGGGGGCCGTTCAGGTTGACTTGGCTTGTTAAGTTCAGGCTTCGACATTACATTCCGTAACAGGGTGCTTTTCGGCTTAGCCGTGGACTCTCAGTTTGAAAGTTTGAAAGGTCCAGCCCAAGATCCATCACTATGAATGCTCTTGCAAGTTGGAGGTTCCTGGGGTACTTCGTTTCTGACACCCTTGACAGAGCCTTCACGCAAGTAGTATGGACGGGTTGGATTAGCAAAGCGGTGGCATCGTTATGCCGGAATTCAGGACGTGGACTACGGTCAGGTTCGGCATGGTTTTGTGTCAGTCGGAGGGCCTGTTTAGCATAATGAGTAGCTTCCCTGAATTCTGAAGCATCCAGCTTTCAACGAGCTCTTCCCATTTTCTGCACAATGCATGTCCTGAATCACGAGATTCATCGAGAACCCGAATTTCAAGCCTGCAGCCGACACTTCCGCGGTGCGGTCTAGCTGCGCCCTTATTATTTTTTGTTCCGAATCGGTGCAGGACATGGACAAGGTGCACTTCATCTTGCGGAAGGAGGCGCGGACCCTCGCACACATCAGTCCTTGGTGGTCTTCTCCCTCTTCCTCGACATTTCCTGGAATTCAAGCTGTCTAACAAAGGCCTAACCACAGGGAATATATTATGCAAGAACCGTTTGGACTAGATGATGTTAGCTGTTGATGGCGGGTGCGTTAGATCGCCTTTGCAAGCCCCGCCGTCTCTTTCCAAGCGTACTGGCCTAGAAGTCTGGAAGCTTCGGCACTAGTCTCATGACAGTCTCATGCCCGGATAACTAGCTGTACAATGCCAGCCGTTCAAGGACTTGGGGGACCTTCCGGGAAAGACTGTCCACTGTCCAGCTGCTAAAACGTTTCAGATCAAGATCCCGGGCAAGTTGAGGTCAGTGCTACTGTTGCGTATGGCTCTGCTGCAAGAAAGCTCTCGTAGACAAAGTGTGCAAGACCTAGAGCACTAAAAACCGAAATGCTTTGGCTCTCTCGTCACGAGTCTAGGGCTCTGAGGGCCCACGCCGGAATCTACAGGTCGTTCGCCTACCTTTGTTTCTCAACTCTGCCGAGAAGCTTCACCGTTATTTGGCAACGGCCTGAGGGGGCAGATGCGCAGCGGAGCAGAGTGTGTGGAAGCGTACCAGCGCAGCTTATATGTGCAACTGCTCATGGTTGCGACTTCATGCCAGTCGGATGGCTTAAAGCTCCAGGATGTAGGGCTGAGTTGAAGCCAGCTTGTGGTTCTGCATTGAAGGCCTTCCTTCGAGGTGGGGGACGTTTCCATTGTTGCATGTTGTTGAAGTTCGGTCTAGTTTTTGCTCTGCGGCTTTCGGGGTGCTTCTGGCAATGCCTGAGGCTTCGTGTCCGATAGAGCGCTTTTGTTCTTCTTGTTCTCGTCAGTGTCATGCTGAGAGCTCTTTCTCTGTGAAGAGGCATTTGTGGCTAGCGTCTTGTAGTCTTGTAGTGCCTTCGTTTCACCGCAATGCCCCTGGACCCTGTAGGCACGGCAAGCCCTGTAGACGCTGAACATCCTGAACTTAGATTTGCAATATGCCCCACGGACATGAACAGTCGGAACTGTTACCCCATCAGATCACACTCGACATGCTCAAATTACACTCAACATGTCGAAAATGTTCAGAAATTGCGGCGGTCTTTGTTGTAGAGGTCCCATTTTGCTGGGCAGGGGCACAGAAGGCTTGAATTTGGGTGGGAGATTGTCGGGTAGAGAGTGAGCGCCAGCACCTTTGCTTTAAGGCTTCAGGGGCTAACCCGAGACAGCGTTCTTCCTCATTTGCTTCGAAGGGCGCGCAGACTGACAAAGCCACTGCAGGCGCACTGCCGAGAGCTCATGCGAGAGAACATGATCGAGGCGTCTTCGGAAAAGCTTTGCAGGGCGCCCCAGGCAGGAAGGCAAAGCGTGTGTCTGCGTCCTCAGACGTTCTCAGCGCGGCAACAGTGCAGATCACCCATGCGTCAATTCAGCGAATATGCTGATCCAGATGCTAGGAAGTCGTGCCTGCGCACTACAAAAGCGATGTTATCTTCCAGAGTTTAAGGCCTTTTCATGCGAGGAATCCACGGCTTTGACTGAGGGCGAAGGGCATGCAGGTCTTGAAGATACATCTTCTGAAGGTAGGCATGTGAGGTATCGCAGAGAGGGATCTGGCAGAGAACGGGGTACTTGGCTCCTCCGCAACTCCCCTTGGACGAAATGTGAGATGATCTGGAACGAGCACAGGAATCACGTCCTTCTGTTTCCGACCATCTTTCGAGGCAAGAGGATCTTCGTCCGTGCCGGCCTGCAGTTCTTCAAGACGGAGGCTGGTTCACGCAACCCGAGTTACCCAACCTCCCAGCCCGAAAATCCAACAGATTGTGCCACAGGCTCTGTGGCTTAGGGCTTGAGCCTTTAGGCGTTATTCGTCGTTGTGCTTCGATAATGGAAAGGGGTTGTTCAGGAGAGACATTAAGCGACATGCCCTTTGATTGAGGCCTCCAGGTTCGAAGTGCCAAAGAGCACGTGAAGATGTTTGCTGTGCAGCCTCCGCTCCCGCCCCCTTCACCAACACCATCGACAACTTCTTCAAAAGCTCACAGAAGTGATCCCACGATCTGGGTCTGTTGTCCGGAAACCTTGGGCCTAAGGCAGTACACAGACGCTGTGATCATAGGATTCTTGGAATGACAACCCCTGCTGTAGGACATGCGAGCGCTAACACACAACAGCCGAACCAAGCGGGTCAGCGTACTTCTCTTCGCTTCCAGTCTCTCCCATCACTAGGTCACTACAGGTACTGGGCTAGGGAGCGCTGTAGGCTTTCTGGGCTTCTATGTTGGATGTACAATTCTAGGAAAGGTTGAGCTGTTGGGGCCTAACTACTGAAAGAGAGCGCGTTCAAGGCTATGTCGGCATGAATGGCACGCGTTCGACCAATCCACATGTGTACGGGTTGCCCAGAATTTGCGGCTCTCTGTCGCTTCAAAATGAGCAAGCAACCTAGTGCCTGGACACTAAAAGCGACCGTCGCTTTGCATATGGCGAGCTTTCCTTTTGCAGCACATTTGGGCAAGTAGGCGAAGCAGTCCTGCAAAGCATCTTAACTCGTCCGCCTCTTTGAGATGATTACCAATGAATGCTTACAAGTGTTCAACCAAGCAGGCCTACATAAGCGAGTGGGCCAAACTACACCAAGCTTTCAATCTTAACCGCACTAGCCCCAAACCTCAGCCCCAAATCCAAAATAGCTATATATATATATATAATATGTGGCCGTAAGCGCCAAGTGCAAAACAAAGGTTCGCAGCCCAAAGCTCTAAGCCCTGAATCTTGCACCAATACCTGTGCCAGGAACGCACCGTCTTGAGGACGACTGGTTCCTCGAGCCCACTTCTATCAGGCTGTCAATGACAATATGGGCTTCCAGGAGTTAGGGCGCAACCCTCAACCCTTAAGTCAACCGTAAACTCCTAGACCCCAACCTGACACCGTGAACGCTCAGCCCCCAACTCTAAGCCCTGAAAAAACCCTCGAACCTAGAGCCCCGCGACTTCTAGTGAGCCCGATCTTTGCAAGGTTTCACATCCGAGAGACTGCGCCTGCGACAAGCACGTTTGGTTTAGGGTTGGGGGTTTCGAAGTTTGACTTTTCCGGGCGGTTTAGGGTTGGGGGTTTCGAAGTTTGACTTTTCCGGGAAAGGGGGAAATAATTGGTGTTGCTCGTGGGCTGAGAAGCATCGGGAGCTTTGGCTCCCTCACTCCTGTAGGCCCGTACGGGTTTCGAAGCCAACGGCCTACTTGTAGCATCCGAATCGATTTGCCTGCAAGGAACTGTCAACTTTCGGGCGGGGTCTCCCTTGTTGGATCGCATAGGAGAACCCTGAACGTTCAATCCTACTCCAAGACCAAATCCCTCATTCTACTAGTTCGGAGTTCCATACCAATCAAGGCCCCTTGTCCTTTCTGGAGGCCTTGCCAGCCGAAGCCCTGACCTCGCCAAGACGGAGGCATCGGACGGCCCATGGTTTCAGGGCTTCCTGGGGTGTAAGGGTTCAGCGGTTTTGGACCGCCGTCTTGGACTAGGGGCCTGAACCAGGGCTTCCGGATGATTTGGGCTTGGGATAATAAGTAGTGACCAAGTGGTCCTGTCGAGGGCAAGCTTTAGCACAGGCTGACCTCCGTGGTTTTGGCTTCAGGATGCGAGGCTAAGTAGAGCGGTCTCTCTTGCAGAGCGCTCTATTCGGCGCTGCTGAACCAAAGGATCGATGCTGCATGCCAAGACTTTGCAGGAATGTTCAAGACCCATTACCTAAACCGTCGTCCGGCTCTCTTCAGCCCCAAGACTTATGCACGGTGGTTCCGCGAGCCTTCAGACTACCAACTAGGAAGCCAGACCCCAAATCCTAGACTTTGCAGCCTGCTAAGCGTTTACATGCGTTTACGAGCAGGGCGCACCTTCGCGGCCAACAGCTGCTCGGGACGAACCAGAAGACGGTGCGCGGTGACGGACTACGGCTGAAAGATTTAGTCTCAAGGTTCAAGTTCCAGGGTGGCTGGTTTGACCTGGGATTCGGTGCACATTGACTTGTTATTCAGGGCTACCTAGGACCTGGGATTCCCAATCGAACGTCATTCCGCGGAGTAGTCAGGGTTTATGGGTTTAGGACGCGGGGCTTGTGTGGGGACCTTGATGTCATAGCACTTTGACAAGCCAGAAGCCGTGCGTGCATGACGACAACGGTAGCTACAAGCAAAATGGATCGCAAAGTTCATAATTGAACGACCGCAGCAATGACAGGGAACAGGACGAGCAGGACGAATTTGATGGGCTGTATTTCAGCTTGGAAGTTCTGACGCTCGACATGATTTTGATGACGTCACCATAAGAGCGATACCGCATGGTTCGTTTGAAGTGTTGTTGGTGGTGGCGGTGGTGGTGGTGGGGGCATCGGCATCGGTTTGGGTGCCAGTGCCGGTGTGTATTGTCGGCGTTGTTGGCTGGCGGCCACGAACAACCGGAAGCCATCGTAATGATCGTGATACACAGCACGGCCAACTGCAACCCGCCTGCATTCGGAGACATGCATGAGGCTTTACAAAACCTGCTCCCATCTACTCCCTACTTCGCTGCCTCGCAGGTAACGCAGGGATTAAATCCGAGACCCCCACTGCCCGGAAGAGCAACTTCGCCTGAAGCTCAGGATTTCCACTGTGATTATTTTTATATGCCTGGGCCACTGGAGAATTATTATGTACCAGGACGGTCATGTTCAGTTAAGTGGCCCAGCCTAGCACGTGTCAATGCGTGTCAGCTTTGCACCTGCATGTTTTTCCTTGCATACATTACAACTTATGCACCCTTCATCCACATCCCAATGGTGCTCCGGTAGCACAGAGCGGGAAGCATCTTTTCTTCCGAGTTTGAGATGCGTGCAGGGTTTTGACAGGTGGTAATACTCAAAAGGCTTTAGCTTTTAGGGTCGACTAAGACGGTAGAGTTTGGATTTTGGAGCCCCGGTGCTTGCTGCCAGATCGGAGCATGAACGTATTGCAAGTTGCTGCGCTCCAGATGTCGCGATCGATTCGCCCATGCATCGCAATTTCAGTTTGCGATAGCGAGTAAATGAGTAAAGTAAACGAGCAATGGAGTATTGTTCATAGATGTAGACACAAAGAAATATGTATGTATATGTATGTGAGGTCATACATACATACATACATACATACATACATACATACATACATACACATATACATGCATACACCTGTACCTATACCTATACCAAAACCAAAGCCGATACCTATATATATATATACATATACATACACATCTGTTTGTGCATGCATGCATGTATATATATATATATATATTAGATGTGATGTCGATGGACACTGGCATTTAAGCCGGATGAAACCCATCCCAATCCCTCCTCGATCCTTCAGGTTCGCCTCGCCGAGCTCGCGATGCCTCGTTGTGACCGGCCACCGCCGGCAGAGGCCGACTTTGGGGCCGGAGGTCAGGGTTCAGTGTTTGGGGTTAAGGGTTGAGAGTCTTGAAGTTAGAGTCTAGGCTCGATCGCAACGGTATGAACGAGAGGGTCAAAAATCTCAGGCGGGTTGGGGCCTTGGGGCATGGGGCTGCTTGTTGCGCTGGGGGCATTTCAGCGGGGTTTAGTTGAGGGGCGGTGAGAATAAGGCGCCTAAGCATACAAGGCTGCCTGGTCCATGCTGTTTGTTTGATTCAAGCTACAGTACTCGCAAAGCCCCAGGGAGAGACGAAGCTTTGGCGCTTATGAGTCGAAGGTTTGCTTGCGAGCCATTTCGGACGTAGGGTTCAGGCTTCCCGTCTTGTGGTGTCGGGGTCTGCGTGTTCGTATTAATGGCTCAGGCTCAGTCTGCATCCGGAACGTTAAAGCCTTGTGCACGCCCGACACACGCTAGCCACTAGAGGCCGAAGCAGACTGTCACAGTCCGACTCCCACAGGATACCCGATTTAGATTTACTGTATAAAGCTCTAGCTTAGCGATGCTTACTCTACAGAGACGCCTGGCCTGCGCGTACGTGTGCATGCGTGTACGTATGCATGCACAGCAGTGAAGATGCAGGCCGCCACCGTCTCCCATTTGCAGTCAAAGATTTTAGAGTCAACTCCCTACAAGCGCCCAGTGTCCCACAGGACGCAGTGCCGGGCCTCGCTCGCTCAGTGGATTTGGACCCGGAGTTTGCCTTTTCTACGCGGTTTCGTAGCCGCAAACCCTGAACCAAAAAGCCCTGGCTTCACGCACACTCTAGACTATAGTACAGTAGCAGTCCCACATGGAAACCCCAGGCAGAACTTCTGCAGAACACCTTCCATGATCCCCGTAGTGGGTGTTGGGGCCAGCAACCAGATGTGTAGGTTTTAAGCTTGTATAGGTTTGGGTTAGTTTAGTCTTCGGGGTTGACGTTGAGACTTCGGCTTAAGGGCTTTCGGGTATAGGGTTAAAGGTTTCAGGGTTGCGCCACCGTCATCAACAGCGATGCTCCTAACCTTGACGGCAGTCCCTACAAACATTGCTGCTGATCGAATTTTTGGGACCGGATCCTGGAAGTCCCGCGCGACGCTCCCGTCACTTCGGCCTTGGCCCCTGTTCGCCTCACGAATATCCTGGAAGCGTTGGCAGCTGAGCGCATCCCCACCTGCACGTGCCGGCATTGATGGACCAGACTCTGCTTGCAAGATGGAGCACCGTGCGCACCAGCATGGCATGCAAGGCCTCGGGTGTACGCGTGTAAGCTGAGAAAGCTGAAGAGTTGTGCAGTGTCTGTGTGCGCGTTCGCAGGTGTGGATGTGCGTGTGTGTGTGTGTGTGTGTGCCCAAGGTCGATATTTTGTGGCTGCGTGCAGAACCCACTAAAGCCCTATGGTCTATACTTCTGGCCCTCTGAGCAGCCAAACCTCCGAGCAATCAGACTCCGACGGCCCCAAGCCTAGACCCGAAGTGCGGTGGAGCTCCCCGCACTCGCAAATGCATCCAGAATAGTCTCTGGAATCCTGCAAGCTTTTCGAGCGACCAAGCCGGGCTGCGCAGGACCGGATTTTATCTTTGGCACGTCCCAAGATCTGGGAGGAGCCTGTGCAGGCGCATGCGAGGATGTGTTGTTGAAGGCCGTGGTTCGAGGCAACAAAGCTATGGGATTGTTTTCAGGTTTTGTAATTCAGGCGGTGAACGTTTTTCTACAGTGAAGATGTATGAGAAATTCCTCCTTTACCATCAGTGTTGGCGGTATATTCCAGGAACATCAGGGCCCTCGAGCCTTGAATTGCCTGGTGCAGCCCCCGTCCCGCCCAGGACGACAAGTAGCACAGGAAACCACAAGCCGGCACAACCCAGCGTCCTGAACTTGAGCGTTCGAAAAAGTATGCCAATCCTACTGAGCATCATGGAGGACCAGGCATTGTTATATCATGCACACACACACACAAACGCTCCACAGGGTATGCATGCCTGCATGCGTGTATTCATGCACTTGTGATATGCTATGATGTCTTGTTTTACACTGCTTCTTCGCCATGGTTCCAGGCTATGTTATTATTCATGGTATGTTAGGTTATGCTGATTCTGCAGCGTTTTTGTATGCCATGATAAAGCAGTAGCGCATGCATGGATGTGGTCATGTCCTCGTGCATGTATGGACTTATGTATGTCCGCATGTACGGATGCATGCATGTATGTACACACCTAAGTATGTATGTATATGTATCTTATGTTTGTCTGTCTGTCTGCCAGCCAGGTTTGTCTGTTTGTATGCCAGCATAAGTATACATGCACACTCACACACTCTCTTTCTCCGTGGGTTTGTTTGCTAGTTTGCGTGGTTTGTTGTTGTTTGTGCTCTGCGAAACACCAGCATAGTCATCTCAGGCTGCGCCGGCGGTCGTGCGCATTAGCCGAACAGAGGAGGCACCGATCTGTGAAGTTTGGTAAAGGGCTGCTGCAGGGTTCTTGAGGGGCCACATCTCCGGTTCTCCTTGCCTGGGATTTGGGGGGTTTGTGCTGAGAGCTTTCAGCAATTGTCTGCGGGTTTTTGCAAGGCGCAATTGTAGGTGTTTCGACTCTAGCTTCGGCGGGTGAGCTGGTCGTGAATGATTGTTGCGCATGGGGAAGAGGAGTTATTGTGCATGCCTTTCGGATGCGATGTTGAGTTTAGGTGAATGTCTAACTGATGCATGGAAGAACCAGGGCAGCCTCTGCTGTGCTACCACATGGTGATGCTGCGGGCAGTGCTGCACAACGGCCTTCCCCATGCTTGGCCTGACGCAACTGTCACAGCTGCTTGTGGGCCCCATCTGCAGTTCAGCACAGATGGGGCTTGGAGTTAGTCTTTGCCTTGGTTTCTAGACTGGCTTGGTTTGGCGTGTCGCGCTGGGGCACTATAGTCGCAAAAACGCATGCTTGCCGAGCTCGCGTGCCGATCTGGATCAAGCGATCTGCACCGGCAGGCTGCACGCGAGCTTGCGCTGCGCGAACTGGCAAAGCCGACGCTGGGTGCTACTTTCGTTGTGAAGGTTCGGTGTACAGGCTCTGGGTTAGGTGCGGCTGAACACGGATATAACGGACGGGGTTCAGAGTCGATGTGTGGGTTCAGGGGTGTGATGCCTCGAACAAGATCTGCACGGACCATGGAAGCTTGCATTGCCCGGGCAAGGGATCTCCCACCCCTACCTGGAGAGACGGATACAACCGTGGTAAATGTAGATGGACTGACACAGTATGGTCCCAGTACACTTCTTGCCAGAGCCCCGGATCCCAGAAGTAGCATCGAGTGTTGAGAATTCTCAAGTGCTACGTACACGACAAACCTGAGAAATGGAGCTAGCCATCCTGCACCCCAAACCAGCATTACCCCCAAGACGCTAAGCCGCCAAACCCCCAAGTGAACTCACAGGCCCTGAACCCTTTCTTCCACCCAGAGCCCTTGACCGAAGAGATGCGACGCGTCGCTTGCAAGGAAAGTGCGGCCGGAGGACAGACTGTCCCTTTAGTTTGCACGGCCGAGGGGCCAAACGATTTAGGGCTTCAGGGTTCCAGGTACAGGCCTTTAGGATTTCGAGTTTAGGAATAATACCGTCTATGGGTTTCGGATCGAGGTTCAATGCCTCAGGTTTTTGGTCAAGGTCCAGGGTTGAGGATTTATATTTTGGTGTCAGGGTTTCGGCTTTCGAATCACGGCCCGTGACATGTGCCACGGACGTCACACACGAAGCAACAGTTTGGCATATTGGGTAATATTGGTAATATTGGGGCTTGGCGTGTAGTGGAAGTTACGATTCCACGTATACAGGAGTCCACGGTTTCGAATTTATGGAGGTCACAGGCTTGCAAGCTTTACTGTGTCAGGCGTCCGTAGTTTGAATTTCATTTAAGATAACAAACAATCATCACCTGGTGATTATCAACATGCTACCTTCCCCAAACGACAACCTCGCAACAGTAAACATGCTTAGTGCTAAACCCGAGTTTCCAAGTCCTGGGCTTTCTTGACTCCCAAACTCGAAACTATCTACACCAAATGAAGCTCGCGTCGAGGTGACCCTCGAAAATCTCATCGCCTGTCCTCGAGTCAAACAGGGCATTCTAGACCACTTGTGTAATTATATTGGTGCTCTTGGTGCTTTCAGTCTGCAACTCTGTAGATCCTCTGTTTGGTTGTATAGCTGTACAACTAGAACCCGCCAGAGTTGATAAGGAAGCAAGGTTAGCAGCAGAGGATCGACAAAAGCTGAGTGGTTCTCTAAATTAGAGCACAGAAAGAGTATGTCTCGCTTCTCGTTAGCCTGATGTTTTTCCCGCGGAGGCGCCTGCGGTTGCCGAAGTTGTGACGGGACCCTCGCGGCCAGTAGACTCTGAGCATCCCGCATGTGATATTCTTACAGGTTTAGATATCAGAGTTTCGGCTTCGGGTGGATTCTGCACTGGGTTCAGGGTCTTGTAAGGCCCTGAGGGAGTTTCACAAAAGGGGTGTTGGTCGGTGGTCTCCAACCCAGCTGTCTCAAAGCACTGGTTCGTGTTGAATCAGGGAAGCTTCGAGCAATGAGTTCGGTGTTTTCAAACTTATTGGGCTTCTCCAGGATTTTAATAAGGTTTTGGAGAAGGGGCTTCAGGCGGATTTCCGGTTGTGAGCATGGAGTGGAGTCGTTTCGACCAAGTAGGTTCAGAGCTTTCGGACGGTTTGATGATACAAGGCTGGATTGATAGGGTTTTCACTCGTGTTTTCGGTGTGGATCTTAGGGGGTAGGCGGGCTTTCAGATATGTTCTGATGGAGAGTAAGTCCACGGCTGCCCGGTCTCCATGCACAATATCGACAGCGGTGCCTGGATCGGCTCGACTTTCTGTCGCAGTTCCCTGACGCATGCAACGGAAACAGCAGACAAAGTCCCACTGACGCTCCCCATGACCCGAATCGCATCGCCAGCATTGTAGGCACAAGTAATGGTAAAGTTAAGCTTAGTCACGGAATTGTCAAAAGCTCCCGCACGGATTCAGAATAGCAGTGCTAAGTAGTTGATTCTCTGGACAACCGTCATTGCTAGCAGTTAGCGGCTTTTTTGCGATCGTGTAGAACCCGCAACAGCTTACAGCTGCAAGTTTTTCACCGGAATCACGAGCTACCGATGCAAGAACTCCATCCCCAGGCGCCTTGCGGCTTTAGCGGCACCGCGCCACTCGGAAGTAATAGGGCGTAGAGCCGTGAAGATGAGGGTTTAAACCCGGATTGATTCCTCATGAAGGTTCGTCTCTCTGGAAGGAAAGAGATGCACATACATGCAATCAAGGATTGAAAATTAACCTTGATTTGCATAATTACCGGCTACACTATATTTCGGGTTCTCTGGACAGGCGGAGGGAAAGAAGCCAAAGCACAGAACCCGTTGCTTTGGCGATGTTGTGCTCACTGGCCAAGATGCAAAATTAGATGTTGCGCACTTGAAGAAATCCCTGCCCTGTTTGTGTGATTCTGCTGTACATGTGACAAACCTTGCAGGGGGCATGGCGGTCACATCCTAGCCATGCCAACGAAGCTATGGATGATGACTGGAAGGGCTCACAGACGTGTAAGCCTGTACCTGCAAAAAAGCTGACCCCCTGAGGCAGCAGGATTAGAAAACAATGTGAGTGTCGACAAGGCAGGTTTTCAGGTTTTGTGAAACCAACAAGCTGTCTGGAAATCATGCACTCTAATTAACGACTCTAAGTCGTCTTCCTCAAGCTTGGTCTCGCAGTACCGGCCTGGCATGTATCTTCAAGATTGTGGAGGACGACATCAGACTACCTACATTACACTCGAAGAAGTAAAACTTGTTCCACTTGTGGAAGGACGATGTCCGACTACGTACTGTACCTTCTGAAGCATAACAGATGCGATGTCAGCTTGCAGCCTCCGTGTTGAATGAAGGGGCATGCTACCTCTCAGCCACACAGCAAGACAAGATTTGCACGAAAGGAATTGCAAAAAGGTTTGAGGCTCGTCTCGTAGAGGGCCAGCGATTCAAAGTGCAGGAGTTTTGTCCAGGTTAAGCGTCTAGATAAGTGTGCATGCAGTTGAAGTTTGCGACCGAGGCATATAAATCTTTACATAGCATTGGCCTTGTGCTGGACCTTCCATGGTAAACCCTACCCGACCCCAAAGCCCCCGAAAGCTCTTCAAACCAGAGAGTGGTACACTGCAGAGCAGTCTGTTCCAGATTTTTCTTTTGATCTTGCCGCCAAAAGCCCGAACCCTCAAACTCAGTCGGCTGACCAAGGCAGATCCTGCAGAAAACATCTATGCATAGGTTGACCTGCACGGGTGGTTTGCAGCATCTTTCGATAGCAGAAGCCGCAAGCCCCAATCCAAAGCCTCACCTCGAGGGCGTCCCAGCGAGCCCAGTGATCGGCCGTCCAGCAAGGCACCTCGGATTCCTGTGGCATGGTTTGTGACTTTGTGACTTAGTAAAAAAACTATTCAAAAACTGTTATAGCCGCAAGCGGCCTAAGTTCTCAAAGTCGCCCGCAGGAACCTTCAAAGCGTCGCCGGAGGAAGAGGCTATGCTATGCTTGAGGTACAAATTCACAAATTAATCCTGCATCAGCGCAGATCCGTGTATGTGATTCGGTTAGGTGAGCTGTGTTAACAAACACTCAAGGAAAGATGCCCATTGGCAGCGGAGGGGAGAGTGTTGGTTGCAGGTTGCTTCAGATCCTACACTGCTGCACTTCTCCAAGCTTCAACCCGAAGACCGAAAGTCCTCAGGAAACTCGCATGTACCGAACTATTGAACATCCTCAATCCAGAGTGGCTGTTGTCCTGAGCCCTTGGCCTCAGACTCGAAGACGTGCTCTGAATCATCCCAAACAGACCACATCTAGCTCCGTAGAATGTTGCCTCGGAAAAAGCGAAAACCCGAAGCCTGAATCGGAAGCTCAAGCTTGGACCCTCTCAGCCCCAACCCCCAAAGGAAGCTGCAAACCTAAGACCCTAAGACCAAATCCCTCAAAGTCCTGGAGCCTTGAAATTCTTCACATCGAGTCTTGAAGGAGCAAGCTTCGTCTCCTGGCGCTGGTCCAGTCTCGTACCGACTCCGAGAGTATGGGATGCGATTCGGCCGATCTTCTCGGGCTTTCCGGGGCTTGTTGTAAGGTTCGAAGGTGTATAAATGGCTTGCAATTGAACGGCAGTCCGGGGTTCTGTAATTCAGGGTTGGAGGTTCAGGGCTGAGGGTTGCGTAGTTTGAGGTTGATTTGGAATGCTTGGGGCGCACTTACGGGGTTCAGGCGCAGTTGGCCATTTGACATGGAAGCTTCTTCAGTTATTCCAGGCTGCGGCTTCCAGCCTACAAACCCACTTTATGCCCAACGCTGTAGGCCCAATGACTCTCGATCCTAACCCCCCTGATTCACGACCCCAAGCTGCCAGCCACAATTCCTAACCCCTGACTCACGACCCCAAGCAACACTCTCGAACATCTATCTTGCGTAGTGGACGGGCCATGATGAGCCTCGTCTCAAAGACCAGAGGATTGCAAGACCCTAAAAGCCCGAAGCTCAGGTGGGCTTCGGGAGTCGCCGGAAGAAGCGGCTTACTACCCGCCCGAGGACGAGGGCGAGGCTAGGCCTGCATCCCCTGCATGTCCTTTCAGTGATGGTTCCGAACTCTTGAAGTTTTGCTATGAATATTGCTCAGACCACTTACATGTCCTGGACACTTTGCGGTATTCGGAGTCTTGGAAGAGCTTCACCGCAAGCTTGGATAGCAGGCTCAGAAGGGAACAAAGTCGCTTTTGTGGTTGAGAGTCCTATTCCTGAGCAGTGCTTCTTCTCTGCAAAAGAGAGCCTACTGAGGTAAGGGATTGGGGCGATGAGAGTTCAGGATTTAGCCACCGGATCGGACGGATTGATGCAAAAGGGCTTCCCGCAGTCATTGCATCTTCTCCGAAATCTCCAAGACCTGGAACAGACGAAACCCGACTAAAGCACCCACTGCTTGCACGCAAAATGTTGAACTCCTAGGGTTGACAACTCTGATCAGACCTGCAGATTAGACTCTTTGCATATATTATAGTCCCAGGTTCACGGCCGTAGCAACAAAGCACGGGAAACCTACACTTTCATTAACATGTCCAGGACCTAAACCCCCAACCTCTGAACCTCACACGGTGCCCAAAGGCTCTTTCAAAGTTATGCAATGCTTCTTCGACCCGACACTCCAAATCCGTCCTATGCTATTGAGTCCATTGGGACGCGGGACACCTGCCTCTAAGGAGAGCGCTGAAGGCGAAGCGGAGGATGCAAAGATACTCGTCGAGCTAAAGTCGGTCAACAAGTCTGATCAAAATCTCTGAGGTTAGTGCTTTGATAGAGTTGTTTCAGGGTTTTGCAGAGTTGATAGTATCGCCTTCAGGGTTTGGGTTCAGGGCTTAGGATTTCGGGCCTAGCATGTAGGGCAGGGTTGGGGTCGAGGGTTTAGGTAGGTCGCTTGTGCTGGCGTTCTATCGACAAACAATCGCCCAAGTATGAAGACATTGGTTAGCAGAGAATAGGTTAACTCACAGAAGGCCTTGGTACAGCGGGTTATTCGCTCTCGTTCGTCTTTTGGTTCGGACTCGGCCTGAAGGGAAGCCCTGGAATAAACCGGCCCTGCACAGCTTGAAGATCAAGCCTTGTCCAGACCTGCTAGTGCTGGCCACAGGCAACAATGGATAATGGGGCCGACTTTAAGACTCCGCTCCATGCAGATCTGTAATCTTGACAGTATCTCATGTAAGTTCGGTAAGTGTCGGGTTAGAGCCATGTTGCAGTCGACCGGTGCGATGGAAAACTCCAGTCTTGCTCGTGATGGAGCGGAACGATTTTAGAGCCTGGGTCGACATGTGCAATTCGGCCAGAGAAGTACTTGCACCAGAACCTCTGTCCGAAGACACTTGAAAAGCCGCTAACTTGAGCCCAAAATGTGAAACACGTTTTGTCAAGAAAAATCAGCACCCACGCCGTTTAGACTGTCCTGCCGCGCAAAGGCCAACCGTGATGGAGGCAGCCGAGTCGCCATCGCAGGTGCCGGGCCTAATCCACGAGAACGCCATCATCTACCTGAGTCTGCAGTAACTGAAATGTTTGAGAGCGCGGCATGTACTTATATATATATATATATAGATAGATAGATAGATATACACACACACTTGCGGAACTTTGTAGATCAAGCTGGGGTGTATAGGGTTTGGTATTTCAGGCACCCGAAGCATGAAAGCTACACGGTCGAAGGCACTGTGGCGCAAGGACCTAGCAAGCCCAAAGCGGTCAAGATTCACCCTCCGAATTCGTAAAGGAAAAGCTGTACGGAAAGTGCAGGATTCAACTCATGCAACGTGGTTTCTTGAGGCAGGGCGTAAAGGCTTTGTGTTCTGAAGAAGACTCCCTAGTTGGCAAATGAAGACGCAGGCTGCAGGGGCAGTGGCCGGGCGGCTGCAGCGATTTAGGGTTCGCAAGAGAACCCCTCGTTCTGGGCGACAGCCCCTCCAGCGAGCGTCACCCAAATGCCATGGACCGGCAGTCTGGGTTTACTAAACGGGCGCCTGCGAACTCTGTACGGACCTTCGGACCACTTAATTACGTGAGCTGATCTCCAGCTACTCAGGAAGGATTAGGTCACTAGACTTTGGTTTTTTTTGAACTCTCTGGTTTCCCAAGAAGCTATTGTAGGCAAAGCCCTCAGCCCGCCAAGAAGCATTCCCAAAGGAAACAGCGTTGGCCGTCGGCAGCCCGAAGGTTCAAGAGAAGGCAGAGGCAAGCCTGCGGGTTTGAGACTTTGCCAGTTGCTACTCATCGTTCTCGGCTTCCCATAGGGTACCGTTTGAAACTAGAGCCAGGATTGTAGTGGATGAATGCCGCCCAACACAATGGGTCAGAACACGCGCCACGCTGTGAGGCTGGCATTTTCGATTTGGGGTTGAGGAGCCAACACTAAGGGTCAAAGTACCTATGAATATATAATCATATACTAATCTGAATACTAACCTACAAAACTAGTATCCGTAACCCAAGTACATGGTTCTCAGGTCCTTTAGACCCTTGGGGCAATCTCTCCTGGCTGAAATCTGATTACATGCTGGTTTTAGACCGGGCTACTTCCTAGATTCCCTTGATCCTTGCAGGTCTCGGCATCCCGTTCTTTTCAAGAAAGCACCCAAGCATCTCTGACATGTCTTCGGGTGTGTCAGCCTATTACTGAATCATGCCCAAGTCCAGAAAGCAGCCAACCATCTTTGACATGTCTTTTGGTGTGTCAGACGATTCCTGAAGCATACCCAATCGTGATCCAAACTTTAACGATCCAAAACGCTGATCCAACTCTGAAGTGCAAGCATCATTCGTGATGCTCCCAGGGCATACCCAAGCATACACAACAAGCACCCAAGACGACGTCGTTGACGACATTCGCCACGCAACAAGCGCCCAACGTCTCGTCGTCGTCGTGAACGGGTTTGAAAGCTTTCAAACGCGGGGTTTGATTTTTCCGTACTATGTCATCATCACATCGGTCGTGCTCACTTGTCATTGACTTCATTTTTAGTTTTTGTTGTTCAGGTTGAGATACCATTCATCTGTATTACATTACGTACGTTGAGACGCCGATCTGAAGATCAAAAAGAAGCCTGGTGAGCTTCAGGACAGATGAAGCACTGCTCACCAGCTTGTGCTTCCTGACATGTGGCATGGACCGATCGAGGAAGAACTCAAACAGATGCCGGCGCTCAGGATTTCTCTTCCTGATATGGGTGGATCGATGAAGCCAGCTCGTGATCCACGATCGGACCAGATTTGGACTCATTTCGTCCAATTGTAAATACAACGTGATCTAGTTCGCTTCGCCACCGAGAGGACACCCGGCATCCGTGTTCTGTCGTGTCGTTTCATGCTGTTTTCACTTCAACCCAAAGTTCAAGACAAGGAGACCAGAGTAGGTTAAAAGGGCAGATCAGCCTCGAGATCCAAGCATAAATGCTAAAGTTTATGTATTGCAGCTACAGACGTTTGCAGTCCAAAGTGTTTCAAAGGTTTCACAGGCTCCATAATCTTAGTTAGATAACTACATAATGGAAGACGACGAAAGACGACAAAGATTATCCGAAGCATACCCAAAGTCATGCTGAAAAGCATGGTTACCCACAGCTGATCCAAGTTTGTATCAAGGAGGCGAAAACGTCGTTCGCACTTAAGACGCGATGTAGCTCGCTGTGTTAATCTTCATTTCGCTCTGATAGTTGACATCCAAGTATAATGTAGCTCATCCCGCCACCCAGAGGACACCCAGCATCCGTGTTTGTTCGTTTCGTTTCATTTTGTTCCATCTTCAGATCAAGTTGCGACGACGAAAAACAGGAGACAAAGAAGCATTGCTGGTTCTGGACTGTCTTGGGTTTATTCTAACTTGTCTAGTTGTTCTGTTGACAACCGGTTTCAACTGGGGTCGTGTGTGTGGAACTCCTGTTCCTAAGGAGATTGAGACTGATCTTTGAACTACTATGTATCTTTGCTTTTCTGCAGTAAGTTAATATGAAAACAGATTGAGTATTCCGGGATGTCAGCCAACGAAGTTAGCGGGGGAGGACCTATGGACGCATGGCTCTGTACCTGCCGATTTCTCACTCGTTGCTGATTTATATATATATATACATATATATATATATAATTATATACCTCCAGCTTCCATAAAGTCTCGAAAGTCTTGTGTTGCATGTAGTTTCGGATGGCATTTACATTTGACCGTCATGATCTTTGCTCAGACATCATAGGCTGCCATTCAAGAAAACTGTTTGGCAACGGACAAGAAGAGAAAAAATAACATAAGTGAGAATGATGGACTTCAGAAGAATAGCGACAACCGGCCTCGACCGGAATTTCCAGGTTGTGTGTGTGTTCGGAAATTTGATTTAGGATGGCTTCGAGACAGATGCACGTCTGAACGGATTCAGGGTGCGCAGAGTTTCCGAGATATAGTAAATTCCGTGTAGATTCGAATATCAATCATGGGACGGCTGGGAGTGCAGATTGCTGAGTCTTGTTTGCCCAGACTCAAAGCCGCACTATCCACGTGTCGCTCGGTCTCTCCTCTCTCTCTCTCTCTCTCTTTTTCTCTCTCTCCAATTTTTGGATATTGCAAACTATTGGTGTATATTATGTATATACACACAATTACACACAAGTACCTACGTACATACATGCATGCATACATACACACATGTATAGAATAGATACACAAGCTCATGCAACTATCGATTCACGTCCATGGGGGTTCGACTTCACCACTGGAGTCCTGCGCTCCCATTGTTTGGGGCATACGCTGACATAGTCCGGAAACCTTAGAACCATGAAACCATGGCGGGGTGCTCCTGGAGGAAGATCGGCAAGCCTGCTTATAAAACCGGAGCCCTTCCCTCGAAGCTTTGCTTGCTCGACCGGCTGCGGGTTGGTCTTAAAGCGTGAGTGAAAGGTAGGGATCGGTCTGCAGGCATAAAGCAAGACTTCGACTTACGGCCTGGATCCTAAACCCTGCCTGGCCGCTGATAACGTTGCCTGCAACAGCCTGGCCGAGCATACGCAACATGCCGGGGCAGGGGGGTTGTCTGTCCCAACCATTAAGACTGAAAGCAGCAAAGCAACCTTAAGCTGGGTAGCACAAGCGTGTGAAAGGTGGCGACTGCTGTCGATGTTCAGGAGGGTACGGATGAGGCAGATGCTGAGAGTGTCGGCCTGTGGCTAAGGGCCTGCTTACCACGAACCTACTTCGTTGTGGACTGGATGCCAGTCACGGCTTAGTGGATAGATTAGGACCCACAGATAGCTTGCGTGCACACGGCCGCAGTAGGGCTCCCGGGAAAGTGAAGGAGTGTATCTGTGGTGGTCTGCAGATCACATAAACTGAAGTTCGGATCTTGTAGGATGCTGTCGCACAAATTCCGTTTTTCGAGCTCGCTTTTAGTACCGCGGGCCTCGGGCTCGGTTCAAGGCTTGGGGTGTAAGAGTGCAGGTGCTTGTGATCAGGCAGATACCTCAATAAACCGAGATGTTACGTATTTGGGGCTGGTCCGGTATACCGCAATAGGCTCCAAGTTTCAAGTGAATCTTCCAGTAGAAAAGGCTGGCCTAGGAGTCGGGTCGAGGGTTGCAGTCGGTCCAGAAGCTTATGGGATCCCAATGCCGGGTTCGAAAGTGCTACACTGTGGCACCAGCTGGAAGTCTACTTGTTAAGTTAAGGGACGAGGCTCATGGTTTCTAGGCACAACCACCCGGAGCTATACGCACGCACGACAAAACCACACAAGCCGAAACCTTGAAGAAACCCGGTGCCCTGGACTATCGTGACTACATGGGTGCTTGCTCCAAGCTATAATTCCTTTTGCGATTCTTTTCGTACCAAGTAGAACTTCAGATCCTATAGTAAGCACCAGCAAGCGAACATATGCTGCCTCAACTGGAAAGGTGGCAGTGCCGGTTTGCGCGGCTGAGCAAGGTGGCCTTGGCTAATCGGCTAATCCTTTCTGCACACTTTCGTACTGCCAGGTTTCTGGGCTCTTAGCTTATATTTACAGGTGGTTTCAGGAATCGTTCAGACTAGTAAGGTTGGTTTATAGGGATGTATAGCTTGTCAGTGTCATAGCTTGTATAACTTTCATTCGGCTTGTAGCTAGGCTCCTTCAAGGCATATGTGTTTAACGGTTTGTTCATCGTATTCATCGTACGAACGACCTGCAGACGGCCACAACTGAGAACGGGTTGCGCCAACAAGCCGCACTTCATCAGCGTCGGTGTAGACTGCCTATCAAACTTCATTCCCCAAACTGCAAACCGGAAACAGGAAACCACGACATAGAAATCATAGAAAAGCATTAAATCCGAACCCCAAAGCAGTAAACTGTGTCCCCTTAAGACTTGTGGGACCTCCCTCTCTTAACTTCGAGTCCTGTCCACTTAAATCCAAAAGCCGAGACCCTAAACAGTCCACAGTTGGAACGGAGTCCGGCAGGAGAAGAGCGCGCGTCCAAGAGTCGTGCGGGTCCCGGTGGTGGGGTATTTTTTTGAAAGATTAGTTTTTGGACCAAGGCATAGACATTTTATAAACTCAAAGGTTCTGGCATTGCGCTGGCACGTTTCGGGCGAAACGGTTTTTGTGTTGGTCCAGCCTCGCATGATGTGGAGACAGGTGGGTTTCTTTTGCGTCTGTGATTTTGAGTGCCTTCTTTTCCGGTGCTATAGGTGCCAGATACAGGACATGTGCATTCTGTGTCGCTTTACCATAGGACTTGTTTCGAGGTCCTGGGGCGCAAAGTCATTCCGACCTTGTGTTTTGTGTCTCATGGAGGTGTTTGCATACACTGTCTCTCCGGAGCAAATGCAAGCACGTTTGCTCCTCGTGTTTCTTAACCGTCCTGTCGCCGGACAGGGATGCATCAATCAACGCTCTCCATTATTCGTATCTGTCCTGTCAGAGATGCCGTATCTGGAACTTGATCGTTACATGGGTCCAAATTCAATCACGGGATCAGCGAATGAAGGGAAGGTTCAGTTCCAGATTCAGATTGGAGCATATGGCGTTATGCTGAGATATCCCCAAGACGACGGTCACATGTGTTTGGTCCAACAGTGGTTTTGGTAAGCCAGAGCCACCAGAGCGCAGTGGGTGCTGTTGTTTGCTTCCTCATCATGTCCTCTCTCTGGCTTTTCTGTTCGAAAACCTAAGCGCTGCACTTGCATACGTTCACTTGGGGCAGCTTGCTGTCATTATGCAAGTTCCTTACAGCGCCGACAGCGTTTCTCGATTGAGCTTCAGTTCGAAGTTGTTTACGCACGAAAGTAACCATCCGAGAAACCCACAACGTCACAAGCCACAAGTCCGTAACCCCTAACGACCTTTCTCCGCGCGGCTGATCTTTTGGGTCTTGTCCGATGGGCTTTCAAAGTCATGGGAATGCAGGGCCGCGAAGGCGCTCGGCCAGCTTGAAGGCGGGTCTCGTCTACAGGATTGCGGGTCCTTTGGCGTTTGCAGTTCCTGATGATTTGTGCAGATATCATGTACATACGTGTGTGTGTGTGTATGTGTGTATGTGTACACACACACATTTATACAGAAATGCACACGTGAATGCCTAGTCTGTAGTTGTGGGTACAGATCTTGCAGTTGTGTCTTCGTTGATCTACTGAACTACCCTTGTTCTCTCAGACACTTGTACCATGTGTGTGAGAGTGCGTGCGTCTACTACTGCGACGACGACGACTACTACTTACTGCATACTACTTACTACTTACTACTCACTTACTACTTACTACTCACTTACTACTCACTTACTTACCAACCAACCAACCAACCTACCTACCTACCTACCTACCTACCTACCTGCCTGCCTGCCTGCCTACCTACCTGCCTGCCTACCGACCGACCGACCGACCGACCTGCCCACCTGCCGACGTACCGACCTACCGACCTACCGACCTACCGACCTACCGACCTACCTACCTACCTACCTACCTACCTAACTACCTGCCTGCCTACCTACCTACGTACCTACCTACCTACCTACCTACCTACCTACCTACCTACCTACCTACCTACCCACCCTACCGACCGCCACCGACTGACCGACCGACCGATCGACCGACCTACCTACCTACCTACCTCCCTTCCTTCCTTCCTACCGACCTACCTAAGTACCTACCTATTACTACTACTACTACTACTACTACTACTACTGCTACTGCTACTGCTACTGCTACTGCTACTGCTACTGCTACTACTGCTGCTGCTACCGCCACCGCCACCGCCGCGCCCACGCCCACGCCCACGCCGCCACCACCACCACCACCACCGCCACCGCCACCGCCACCGCCACCGCCACCACCACAACTGCCACTGCCACTGCCACTACCACCACCACCACGACTGCCACGACTACTGCTACTACTACTACTACTACTACTACTGCTACTACTACTACTGCTACTACGACGACGACGACGACGAGGACGACGACGATGTTCAATAATACTATGTCTAATAATGCGCTTTTCTTCTAATCCTTCCAAAATGATACTACACTACACCCCCCCCCGTCCGAA